TGTCAATTTAAGTCTGCAGTTAACAAGACAGAGCGACTATTTGTTTTTCATGCCTTCACTGAACAATAGTGTCGAATCAGACCGAGCGAAATGTCTGAAAAAATCTCAATAAAAAATAGATAAATTTTTTTATAAAGTACCCCTAGGGGTACTAGCACAGCAAATAAAAGTAGATTTTCAGGTGAATTTAAGAACTTGTTGAGATACTCTCTACAGTATTCAGTTCATGCCTGTACCTATAATATGAAAAACGGTTGGCGAGCAGCGAAAAACTCCTATTTTCTAAAAAGAATAAGTGAATATTATCTGATTAGCTTTAGGGGAAAAAGTGTCACTCATGGAAATGTAAATATGCGGCTTTGACAGGACTGGCGAGCATATGGTAGTGTATAAGGGATTCAAAATGGACGTCATCAAGGCAGAACTCCTAAACCGAATGAGGCTACTTGCATCAAAACATCGAGACGAGAGGAAATCATACAGGATCGGTCACAGTCCAATAAGAGTCCTGCCGAGGAAGGGCCATTAAGAGATGCGGCGGCCATCAAAGTGTACAGGGAGATGAGATCATGAGACCTCTTTTCTGGCCGATCAAACGACTAGCAGATGATGAAAACATAGGATTCCGACGTGGTCCCAACAGACCGCTTGGTGCCGAAATGAGGAGACGACATCAAGAATCGCGAAAACCATCGATTGGGGGTGAGAGCACGAAATCTCGGAGGCCAGAGTGCGGTCCTGGTGAGGGCCGGCAAGTAGATAAATGAAGGCGGCTTAGAGCATGCACACGAACCTGGCCCTGCTACTTCTTTGAGAGGGTCTATTAGGTAGGCCGTCGCGTCCTTTTCAATCGCCCTTTGGATCCACCTTGAACAAATAATCTCAATTCACGGACATCAATCCGTTCTTCCCCATATTGCAATCTGCCTTCCATATATTAGGTTGGCCTTCTGTTCTCCTTTGGCGTTGAGGAAAGAACGAGTAATCCCATGGCAGCGTAATACGGAAGATTCACCTGGATGCGAATGGTCGATCATGTAGTAGCAGTAAGGAGGGACGATTCTAGCCCCCAGGTCGTGGCTCGTTCGAGGAGACTTGGGCAGACATTCAAGTTTGACAAGGCCAGAATTCTCACAGAAGATGACAACCGCGTATGCCGTGAGCTGCTTGAGTCGTAGTTTTCCGGTCCGCATTTAATTGACAAATGCAATGACCTCCCACCCCGCATGTTCTGTGTTGCGATTTCGCGTGCACAAAATAATTAAAGCGAGGAGGGCGCGGACGACCAGCAGTTCCGGTGACAGTGGGGCGAATTGTCGAGTGACTTCTCCCCCCCTTC